CAATTGTTGCCAAGTGGAGTTTGTACCGTTGGCTTGGACGAATGGTGCAGAAACTTATAAACGATCCCTGGGGAAAGCAGTCCTATACCGACACGATATTGGAGCCCCAACGTGATCAGTCTCTGCTCAGATTATTGTTCTTATAATAGCATTTGGCTTTGTATTCGAAGTAACTTACGTGAGGGGTATGGCACAGGCCAGAATGCTACTGCATCGTCAGTCAACACATCCTGCGCACTGTCTACTGGCACTGCTGTTAATCGGAGGTGAGATTCTTCTTTATCAAGTTATTTATTTATTTATTCAACACACTCTCAAAGAATATGTAAGGAACGGTAAAGGTAGCAAGGAAAGCAACCCCGTGGATGAGGGCCAGTGGTAAAAGTGACAAAAAAGATAAATGGAACGAATGGAACAATTAGGCAAGCTTATCGATGCATCTAGCTAGAAGCTCAGCATCTTAGCCATTTCTGGGCATAGCTGTCTTTTTCTTTCCTTTCTCGCCATTTTGAGCAAGGAGGCGTAAGAGATGCCAGACCATGCTTGATTTAAGTCACTCTACCCTAGCGTTTCCACAAATTTATGTACATTGCACCAGGCAGAGGCCATCCTGGCGAACTTGATCATGCTCAATGTGTAGTTGTGCTTGTGGCATCATTGACTTCCCTACCTGCGAACATAGATACAATGTACAAGGAGTTTCTTGCCGACCTCCACAAGCATTCATGCCCATAATGAGGCATACTGAAGCAACATATTGTAAAACAATCAATGAATCATCTTTCCCTGATTGCATCTTTCCCTCAAACCAGTGGAATAGTTCATGTGTGCTCTTTGCCATTGTGCAGGGTTGTGTGCTGTTTCAGGCAACAGCATATGCGCCCCTGAATCTGGACATATTTGGGCGGAAGAGCGAAGCACGTCAAAACCAATCGTATTTCCACCACCACCTAAGTCCACGGGGTCAACAGCCCCAGATTTAATGTGGACGTTCAACTTCAGCCACGAATGCACGCTCTTCTTAGAGAATATAGAGTTTTCCTTCAATGGTGCTTGCACATTCCAACTTCATAATCCAGAATACGGCTGGGTGGGACTGAATACCACGTCCGTGCAAATTTCAGGGTCGTTGAAATCAACTACCATCGATGTGAATGAACGCACCGCCACTGTGATGGGTCAACCCAAGGACACAGATGATGGCAGTCGATACTTTACAGTCACTGCCAAAGGTACTGAAAATATTGCATGTGACGTTGAACGACTCGTGTTGCGCACTGAAGGTAAGCAGCAGTGGACTAGCGTAGATTGCATAAAGGAGTGACAATGCTCAACAGTGGTTGTTGTTGTTGTTGTTGTTGTTGTTGTTGTTGTTGCTGCTGCTGCTGCTGTTGTTGTTTTTGTTATTGTTGTTCTTTTAATTCTTTATTCTCAGGATGTTGTTGTTGTTGTTGTTGTTGTTGTTGTTGTTGTTGTTGCTGTTGTGGTGGTGGTGGTGGTGGTGGTGGTGGTGGTGGTGGTGGTGGTGGTGGTGGTGGTGGTGGTGGTGGTGGTTGTGGTGGTGGTGGTGGTGGTGGTGGTGGTGGTGGTGGTGGTGGTGGTGGTGGTGGTGGTGGTGGTGGTGGTGGTGGTGGTGGTGGTGGTGGTGGTGGTGGTGGTGGTGGTGGTGGTGGTGGTGGTGGTGGTGGTGGTGGTGGTGGTGGTGGTGGTGGTGGTGGTGGTGGTGGTGGTGGTGGTGGTGGTGGTGGTGGTGGTTGTAGTATGAACTCTTTTACGCACTTTACTTGTATGCATGCACGTGCCGTTGCGACACGTGTTCACGCCCGCCATGTGGTCTTTACACTCCGAGCATGCGGGCCCCTCAGGTACGCATGCAAGGAACTGATCATGCTTATTCTGGTTTTCATTAGTTAGGAGTTTTGTTGGCACGAAATGAAGTAGAAGCCTTTTCGGTGTGTGTGTAGTTCTGTTGTTGTCGGACCTGGATGGTTGCTGTGCGATACACCCAAAACAGTGGTGGTGGTGGTGGTGGTGGTGGTGGTGGTGGTGGTGGTGGTGGTGGTGGTGGTGGTGGTGGTGGTGGTGGTGGTGGTGGTGGTGGTGGTGGTGGTGGTGGTGGTGGTGGTGGTGGTGGTGTGTGGTGGTGGTGGTGGTGGTGGTGGTGGTGGTGGTGGTGGTGGTGGTGGTGGTGGTGGTGGTGGTGGTGGTGGTGGTGGTGGTGGTTCTTGTTGGTAAGGAAATGCTCTAGCCCGCACGAAGTCTCGAACAAAATTGGAATCGATCGCCGGAATATTAAATTTGTGCATTCTTCCTACTCAATTTGTCGCGGCTAAGTCATACTTTGTCCAATTGCCCAAGACTGCTCATCCCACCATAGCCTCATTTCGAGAAATGTGAGATACTAGTAGTTTGAGGGAGGTATGACAGTGTTTATTCTCGTCTATAACTTGCGATGTACAGTGTTCATTGTGCAGTGCAGCCAAGGTAGAACGCGTAAACGTGCCCATGGCCCATCTTCTCATACTAAGAAAAAACGCGGTAACGCGTCCAAGGCAGGGAAAAGGGCTTTTATAAGAAAGAAAGAAGGTCAAATCAGACACCGATACTGTGCTGAGGGCGAAAATCGTGACATGGACAGTGAGATTAAAGAGAAGGATAAGAAATGTAAATGAAAATGAAGAGTTTTTGTCTTGAATTGAGGAGTGCATTGCAGCTTTACTTATGGTTAACTCATATGGTGACATTAGGTTACCTTACAGACACCTTGCGAAACAGGATATACACAAAAATAACGGGTTTAGCATAATGTGCTGAATAAAAGAGTAGTATTCGACCTAAGCAGGGCGCTTTAGTGACTTGATAAGCGGAAGTAAAAACAAGAGTAGAAATGTACCCAATATGTGCTGGAGCTGATTGCCAGTGAGCTGTAGAACGTCATAACTGTCAGTCAGTGGCGTTCCTTTCTCCTTTTCTTTACTACTAGTATAAGTAGAAAAGTGTCAATGTGTTACCGTCTCCCCAATGTCATCGAATTCATACAACTACAGTAAAACCTGTGTTTGTCGGACCCTTTACCAAACGGAATCCTGCGGTGACCTGACACATTTTCCTTGCACCAAAGTGTTGTGGATCGAATGTGTATACCTGAATCAAGCAGAATCCTGTCCTAGGATAGTTTCTGCTGCACCAGCTAAACCCTAGCGGCAGATGCAACGCCTAATGCAACGCCTAATGGTGGGGGTGAGTGGATGAGTCTTACAACCACTGGCACAAGTGCCGAGAAACCCCATTAGCTGCATCCATGTACCCCTTGTGCCTGGCCACAAGTTCCCAGTGGACTGTGGGTTGCAGCGCTGCTGGAAAACCGCTCCCAGGCAGGACTTGACCCAGGTTATTCTTGTGTCTCAATCATGGTCTTTGACCAACCCACGGTGCCTGCCCGGTCACGGTCTGTTTGGTTGAATATGCTCTACAAATCACAACACTGCTACTAAATCCCAGCATACCAAACAAAGTCAGAGTTGTTTGATTTACAACCTACTGTAAAACCGGAAAATCTAACGAGTCACAAAGTCTAACGTTTTAACGACCAAATATTTTCGTTATTGGAAAAAACTTTATCGCGATGTGAAGATGCGCGTACATATGGGTGACCAGTTAGCCACCGTTAAACTTTCTGCACGTAATCATGCCAAAATTACAAAAACGTTAAACTTTCCAGTTTTACAGTACGTTGCTGCATAACACCTAGATGTTTCTCTGCGTCATCTCATTTTATAGATGTGGATGAATGCAATTCCACGCCTCAAAGTGGTACACTGTGTCCATCGAACAAGAAATGTGTCAACACTATTGGGACTTATGGTTGTTGCAGTAGAGACGGAGATCGTGAGGACCGGAATACGTCGCCTTTAGCCAGGGATAACCGACATTACCGTCCGTGCGTTTCGCAGACCATTGCATTCATCACAGGAGCAGGACCTACAATCAGAGCTCGAACAATCGGTAAGAATGACATAATTGGGACAATCGGTACGAATAACACACATGTATCTAGCGCGGTTGCGCTGCCAACGATGGACACCATTGCGTTCTGGCACCAGCATACCATAGCTGCTGTTGCCATATCTTGCTCTTCCGTTGCACTGTTCGTAATTGTGCTTTTAGCTATATGGCAGAGGGGTTATCTTAGAAGCTCTGCCATGGGATTTGTCTAAACCGATTCGTGAGGATGGCCGTACCAGGGATGCATGTCCTATAAGTAGAGGAATTTGTGCATATTTCTTTCTCTTTCTCAGTCTGGGGACAGCACTGTTTCGTCCTTTATGAACTCATCAGCGCAGCAGGTCTTGTTTCTATACATTGGGGTGCTATTTTTGTGTTGCTCTTGCTGTTTCGAATCTTTATTCTCACAATAGCCAGTAGCCCATATGAGATACATGTAGCTGTTGTTTTTTTGAATTTGAATTCTTTATTCTCACGATGGCACCATCACCAATAAGAGTGGTTGTTGTTGTTGTTGTTGTTGCTGCTGCCATTGATATTGTTGCGCTTTTCATCGTCATGCATGTAATTCACCCAGCCACCGGACATTTACTGCCTTTTCGTTGTCTTTTTTGAAATAGCTCTGACAGATTTTGAAACCACCATTGGTCTCGCTTGCTGGTACCATGCAATACTTATTATTATCTAACTGCAATGACGCTAATTATGTTCCTTAGCCGGTGGCCTGGCACGAGGGAAGCATGGATGCAGCGAGCAGGATTTTCGGTCTTTGACCACTTTGTGTCGGGTCTGCTTAACGCACCTCCCGCCTCTTTAGGAGCTGCATCTTAAGCTTGATCTATACAGGGCGGTGGCGTTCTTACAGATGCGTGGAACTCAGCGTTCAGTTGAGTCGCACGCGGGCTGTGATTTTGCAGGTATTTAACTACAGCTATGCCCGTCTGTAGTTTATTAGCTTTTCAAATGACTTGGAAATTAGACAATACGCACCTCGAACGAGCACTGCCTATAGCCATCTACTCTTGATATAGCCATGCACTGCTGGAAATCAGAAGTCGTGCCTAAATGAAATAAGCTGTTTGAAAAGAGTTTGCGGCAAGTGCGGACAGTGCGCCGCCTCCAACACAATTTGGAGAAATGTAACGGTATATGCAGAGAGCAGTTCGCTTATGTTAGAAATAAGTCCAACTGCGACCAGCTGATACTTCTCTTCCAGTACATGGCCAGCCTGATAGATGATCACCATGATTTTGATGTGATCTGAACGGACTTCCGCAAAGCCTTTGATTGCATAGATCACAACACTCTTCTCTCCCAGTTCCGTGGATTCGCCACGCGGCATGCAGTAATCTGGCTTCGAACCTACCTAGATGCAAAGAGACCTGTCAGTAAGAGTGGGCGACACCCAATCGCAGCAGTACACCGACACCTGCAGTATACCGCAAGTATCCCACCTGTACCCGCTGCATTTCATCATTTTCATCAATGACCTCCCTAGCCTTATGAAGTCTGCTACACATTTCGTCTCCACCGATAATGTTACTTTGCTATGTCCCAACATAAAAGCCAGCCAGGCTACTAGGCAACTACTGATGCAGTCAGATGTTGATGCATGTCAAAGCTGGGCCCGCGTTTGCAGTGGTGAGGTTTCAGTAGGGGTCAAACGGGTGTACTTTTACCTTCTGACCATAATTCCCAGGCAGTTCCAAATGCGATATTGCAGTATCCCTGCCTGACCAACTTTCACAATCTTGGGCATTCTGGAAAGCTCTCCATGAGCTGCGTACAATGGGATCAAACTGGACACAACTGAGATCAAACGCCAACGCCAGGGTGCTTCAAACACTATGTTGTCTGTTTCCACGATGGACACCAAGTGTCTCTATATGGCCATGGAAACATGAGAAAGAGTCTGGTTTTCTTTACCATATTCTCATATTCAGAACACCAGGTGCAAGCAACGCTGCCTAGAAAAGTACCTTTGCGATGACTACTTTTTAAGAGAGATTTGTGTGGAAACAAAGCATTTGAAGTCAATTATTTTGCAGTCGCCTCATACAATTTGTTTAAACACTCCGTCTCTTCATAATGCTGGGTGTTTGTTCTCTGCAGTTGTTCCAACGTTTGTTTCAGCCGGCTCGGTCACCAATACTGCAATAACGACCAATATTACTTCTAGCCGTGCCTCTACAATACAAACTTCATTTACGACCACTCCCTTAGTTGAGTCAACAAGGAAAATTGCGCAGATTGACAGTGACTCAAGTGGATTTAGTTTAGTTACCAGCATTGTTATTCCCTTGGTTTTACTGGCCGTTCTGCTAGGCGTTTTTATTCTGCTGTTATTAGTTAGGTCTGGAACATTTCTCTCTAAGAGCAGTCATCCGTGGATTATTGCTGTTCGTAGATCAACCGGCCCCAAAAATATGCCAGACCCGAGAAATCAGTTTTGCAATAATCACGATGGTACTGACCGCGTTGACCAGAGTCCTACGGTCGAACTGAGGAATCCCGGGCTGTATTCAGCTGTTGAACCTGGGCATGGCAATCCAACCAACCGTCTCCAGACCCCTTCTGGTATAGCTGCTGCTCTTTATGACAGTTGTACGGAGAATGAGAAGTACATGTACGCAACCTGTGATGGTGCTGCTCCGAAGAGTTATGTGAATACAGAAACGAAGCAGAAAGATGCTGGTGAGCCATACGCTAGTGTGCAGTCAAAGTTTGATCAACCAGCGCAGGACGTCCAGTCAAATCCGGTAAACAAGGAAACACAGGCATCCGGATGTGAAGAAAGCTCAGCTCCAACTGTCCGCTACTCAGTTCCTCGCAAGGGGAACACGACAGATGTTCGCAGACATTACGAAAAGGCAGAGCAGTGCACGGCTACTAAGCGTGTCGAAACACCCAGCACTACAAATTCAATCAAACACATAGGTCGTACTACTGATGTCACATCACTTAGCATCTTATCGAAGTCCGCAGAATCCTGCGTACAAAACCAGGAGAAGTGTATCGATCCAGATGATGTGGAGCGCAAACAACGCCGTGGTCTGAGTGACGCAACACCAGTAGTATGCCGCGATACCACAACCACCATTACCAGCACCAACCCGCTGTCATCCAGCTTATCCCTTCCAGCCACATCGATACAGGCCGAGTCAGACACCCAAAGATGTATGTCTCCATCTCAGGTCCCAAAGCCTCTGCCGTTTCGAGTATTCAAAGTATTGAAGGACAGCCAGGGCGATTACATGAAATCACAGGACACAGTCTCCAACCAGCCATCTCCCTGAGCGATGATACCGTATTTCTCCAAATAAAAGGCTGTCCTCGTATACAACACCTTCCTCGTATACAAGGCCGCGGCACGGGGCGATTGAAAAAATAAAGGACCGTCTCCGATTAGAAGACTTGGCCTACTAAATCCGTCTCAAATTTGTGTTAAAAAATAGAAGACCGTGCTCAAACTGTGGGTAAAAGTATAAGACCGTGCTCAAACTGTGTAGAAGAAAATGGAAGAATGGGGGTAAAACTGTGTGGCGAAAAATAGAAGACCGGGGTCAAACTGGGTCGAAAGAATATAAGACCGTCCTCGAATACAAGACCGTCCTCGATTATAAGGCCGGGTTAGGACGAGGTTGAAAAAATAGTAGACCGGCCTACTATTTGTGGAAATACGGTATATTGTTCAGCGCATCGACTCTGGGTAAAAGAGATGAGGTGGGTGGTAACAGCACTGTGCCGGTTGATCTTCCTGGTCCTTCTGCCATATATGCTGTGCCACAGAAAAACTGTGAAACGCGAAGTATGTTCATCTAAGCGTTATTATTTCGGTTTTAGATCACATCCGCTTGCTTCCCACCATTTTTCATAATTTCCTGGCCAGGACTGAAATGATTGTTGTTCGCGCCGACGACTTCCAAATTCACTCAATTTTTTCACGCTTTGTTTCTAAATCGAGTTCGGCAAATACAACACTGGAAATTATTCACCGAATGAGCAAAAAACATATCCCCCCTAACCATGTAACGTTCTATCGGACTATCCTTTTCGACCGCCGTACCTTGCCACACGATTCCATCTATTTTGCATGTAACGCAGGTTATTTTTCTAATTGATTATATACTATCACAACCACCCGCGCTGTCCACTCTAACAATACTGCTTGCAGGTTAGTCGTTTTGCCCATTCCTCTCCTCATCAATCCCTACTTGTCTTTGTACATACATCTACATCTACTGTTCTTTCAATCAAATGAACCCCTCGATAGGCGCATTGCCTTTGGGTCATGTCATAATAATAATAACAATAACAATAATAACAATCTCTGAATGAATTTGAAGACTTAATGTTGCCTTAAATGTTGCAATTCATACTTGTATACTTTCAGTGCTGTTGTTGCACCTCCCTAAGAGTGTGCAGGTGTTATTATCCGTGTATTTTTTATTTCACCTATATTCCAATGTCCTTTAGACTTTAGTTCAGCAACAATTCCTTTGTGGTTTCGTTGTACGACAACTTGTTTGAATCTTAACGAGAGAGGTTGGAGACGTATTGGAGCTCCGTGTATAATTGTCTTCTTCCTACATTTCTTCCATTGTTTTATTGCTGTTCGGTTCCACCGTTCAACATTACACGGATGAAGGCCAAGAGAGAGAGACAGAGAGACAGAGAGACAGAGCGAAAGAGAAGGAGTAAGAGAAAAAGTAGACAGAAAGAGAGCGAGAGAGACAAAGAGTCAGAGAGACAGAGAGTCAGAGAGACAGAGAGAAGGAGGGACAGATAGACAGAGAGAGAGACAGTGAGACAGAGATAGAGACAGTGAGAGACAGAGAGACAGAGAGAGACAGAGAGAGGGAGATAGAGAGAGAGAGAGGGAGAGACAGACAGACAGACAGAGAGAAAGAGAGAGAGAAAGAGACAGAGACAGACAGAGAGAGAAGGAGAGAGATAGAGAAAGAAATGGTGACAGAGAGAGAGAGAGAGAGAGAGAGGGAGACAGAGAGAGAGAGAGGTAGAGAGACAGAGCGACAGACAGAGACAGACAGAGGCAGATCGAGACAGACAGAGACAGACAGAGACAGACAGAGACAGGCGAGACAGAGGGAGAGACAGAGATAGTGACTGAGGCATAGGGAGAAATAAGAGAAAGAGAGTGAGAGAGAGAGCGGCAGAAGGCGAGAGAGAGAAATTGAGAGAGACAAACAGATAGAGAGAGAGACACGGGACACGGAGAGAGGGAGAGAGAGACAGAGACACAGAGAGAGAGAGACACACAGAGACACACAGAGAGAAAGACAGAGGGGGAGATAGAGAGGGATAGAGATAGAGTAAGAGAGAGGCGAGAGTGCGTTACATTCATAAAGACAAGGAAGTCTAACAATTGAGATCGAGATAGAGAGATATAACGAGAGATAGAGAGAGAAAGAGATTAGTAAAGAGAGAATGAGACAGGAAGAGAGTTAGAGAGAGACAGAGGGACAGACAGGGACAAACAGATACATATAGAGACAGACAGAGACAGGCCGAGATAGAAGGAGTGACAGAGACAGAGAGAGACGAAGACAGGTACAGAAAAAGAAACAGAGATAGCGACAGTGAGAGAGAAATACAGAGAGAGAGCGAGGCAGAGAGGCAGGGAAAGACACAGAGAGATAGAGAGAGACACAGAGAGACACATAGAGAGAGAAAGAGAGAGAGAGAGGCAGGGAAAAACGCAGAGAGATAGAGAGAGGCACAGAGAGACACACACAGACACACAGAGACAGAAAGAGAGAGAGAGAGAGAGAGAGAGAGAGAGAGAGAGAGAGAGAGAGAGAGAGAGAGAGAGAGAGAGAGAGAGAGAGAGAGAGAGAGAGAGAGAGAGAGAGAGAGAGAGAGAGAGAGAGAGAGAGAGAGAGAGAGAGAGAGAGAGAGAGAGAGAGAGAGAAGGAGAGAGAGTAAGAGAGAGTAAGAGAGACAGACAGACAGACAGACAGACAGACAGACAGACAGACAGACAGACAGACAGACAGACAGACAGACAGACAGACAGACAGACAGACAGACAGACAGACAGACAGACAGACAGACAGACAGACAGACAGACAGACAGACAGACAGACAGACAGACAGACAGACAGACAGACAGACAGACAGACAGACAGACAGACAGACAGACAGACAGACAGACAGACAGACAGACAGACAGACAGACAGACAGACAGACAGACAGACAGACAGACAGACAGACAGACAGACAGACAGACAGACAGACAGACAGACAGACAGACAGACAGACAGACAGACAGACAGACAGACAGACAGACAGACAGACAGACAGACAGACAGACAGACAGACAGACAGACAGACAGACAGACAGACAGACAGACAGACAGACAGACAGACAGACAGACAGACAGACAGACAGACAGACAGACAGACAGACAGACAGACAGACAGACAGACAGACAGACAGACAGACAGACAGACAGACAGACAGACAGACAGACAGACAGACAGACAGACAGACAGACAGACAGACAGACAGACAGACAGACAGACAGACAGACAGACAGACAGACAGACAGACAGACAGACAGACAGACAGACAGACAGACAGACAGACAGACAGACAGACAGACAGACAGACAGACAGACAGACAGACAGACAGACAGACAGACAGACAGACAGACAGACAGACAGACAGACAGACAGACAGACAGACAGACAGACAGACAGACAGACAGACAGACAGACAGACAGACAGACAGACAGACAGACAGACAGACAGACAGACAGACAGACAGACAGACAGACAGACAGACAGACAGACAGACAGACAGACAGACAGACAGACAGACAGACAGACAGACAGACAGACAGACAGACAGACAGACAGACAGACAGACAGACAGACAGACAGACAGACAGACAGACAGACAGACAGACAGACAGACAGACAGACAGACAGACAGACAGACAGACAGACAGACAGACAGACAGACAGACAGACAGACAGACAGACAGACAGACAGACAGACAGACAGACAGACAGACAGACAGACAGACAGACAGACAGACAGACAGACAGACAGACAGACAGACAGACAGACAGACAGACAGACAGACAGACAGACAGACAGACAGACAGACAGACAGACAGACAGACAGACAGACAGACAGACAGACAGACAGACAGACAGACAGACAGACAGACAGACAGACAGACAGACAGACAGACAGACAGACAGACAGACAGACAGACAGACAGACAGACAGACAGACAGACATACAGACAGACAGAGACAGAGAGAAACGGAGACACAGAGAGAGACAGAGACAAAGACAAAGAGAGAGAGACAGAGAGAGACAGAGAGAGAGACAGACAGAGACAGAGAGAGACAGACAGACAAAGAGAAAGAGAGAGAGACGGAGAGAGAGAAAAAGAGAGAGAGAGAGGGAGAGGGAGAAAAAGAGAGAGAGAGAATAGGGGAGAGGGGTGGCAAGACAATTATTTCCAAATAGGGCAAAATGGGAGCTGCGGTTCTAGAGGGAGTTCGTTGCTCAGGCCCATAAGCTGTGGCAAAGGTGTTTCTGGACTTATTCCTTGAATCTTTGGGGCAGCTATGTGCTATGCAAATGCCGAGAGACGCCATTGTTTCAACTGGTTCCATTCGTCGATCATTGTATAGGGGAAGGAGGGGCGAAGGATGTTGGGTGAGCTAGCTATAAGCAGGTTGCCCTGTTTTGGTTGATGGCAGGGTGTTTTCATCAGCAAAAACTCCCATCTCGCTGGCTGCAGAGGGGCAAATCTCAGAATTGTTCACATAATTATGCAAGGCATAAGGTGTGCTCAAGAATTGTACCTTATCCAGGAACCTGCCTAGAGGTGAAGCTATGGCCAGACAATCTGTCTACCTATACATCGCATTGTCACTAAAGACTAGATAACCTGCTTCAGGGCGGTCCCCTAAAAATGGTTTTTGCTGTCTAGTCCTGGGTCTTGCCATTACTTAGAAGCCGTTATATATCTGGCTTCGCTTCGGGGGGGGGGGGGGGGGGGCCTCTAAAAGTAAGAAATAGGCAAAGGGTCTTTCACACTTTGAACTAAACTTCACAGTAATCACACGCACACCGAACAATCTCCTAACCTGTCAACAGGAAAGCCTACAATTATATAATATTTGGTTTCAGGCTAAAGGACTTCGCTAACCAACATTATGCAAATTGATGAAATGGGTTTCAGGAGACCTTTGGAACTCTTTTCCATAAACTTCCGCTGGAAAATCCAATTTAAAGTTATAATCAATAGGTTACTCAATCTACTCAATGATTACTAGATTATTAAAAAATTTGAAAGGATTGGGAGAACTTCAAATTCCAAGGATCAATCGGGGAAGTGAACTGCCTGAAAAAGAGAGAAATCGCTAGACCCACCGGGGCATGAGCATTGCTCATGACAACAAGGTCCTGGATCCTTGTGGTTCTGGCGTTTTTTTCACTTCACTTCCTCGACTGATCCTTTGAATTACTATTATAATAATGGATCAACAGGAAGTGTGAGTTACGAAGTCTGAAGAAAATGTTGAATGCTCTCTGCTTGGATGACGACTACACCATAGCTTAGTGGTTAGAGCATCGCTGGCTACAAGCGAGGGTCTCTAGTTCGAGTCCTGGTGGTGAAAGTCAATTTTTTTAAGACTTTTCCCGTTTGTGGCTTTCTTTCAAACTTGTTAATATCTTATGACTTGGGGCTCCCCGCGTGCTAGTTTGTACGTGAATTGTCTGGGTACAGTGAGGACTGCGTCCCACCCGCCGCCGGTGTGGATTCACAGGAAGTGTGAGTTACGAAGTCTGAAGAAAATGCTGAACGGTCTCTGCTGGGATTACGACTACACCATAGCGTTGTGGTTAGAGCATCGCTGGCTACAAGCGAGGGCCCCTGGTTCAGGTCCTGGTGGTGACAGTCAATTTTTTCTTCCGACTTTTCCCGTTTGTGTCTTTCCCTCAACCATGTGAATATCTTATGACTTGGGGCTCACCGCGTGCTCGTTTGTACGTGAAATGTGTGGGGTTGAGGGCTGCGTCCCACCCGCCTGTGTGAATTCAAAGGAAGTGTGAGTTACACAGTCTGAAGAAAATGTTGAACGGTATCTGCTGCGATGACGATTACACCATAGCTCAGTGGTTAGAGCATCGCTAGCTACAAGCGAGGGTCCCTAGTTCGAGTCCTGGTGGTGACAGTCAATTATATCGTCAGACTTTTTCCGTTTGTGTCTTTCCCTCAAACCTGTGATTGTTATTAATTATATTTTTTTATTCATATTTTAATATGGCGTTCCTCACAGACTTGAGGTCGTCTTACTGGGTACCCTAAGAATGAAAGTAATGCATGGCGAAATAGGGTTGGCAATCCAGCAGTGCGGATACCAGATAGAGCGCTATTCCAACTGTCTGCAGCCAAATATGCAAGAGAAAACAGACCGTAGCGTGAATAAACTCGGGGTAGATCAAGACCATTGGAGGAGTGAAGACGGGTTCGACATTGGAAAGTGTAAGCTGATGTGTCAACCTTTGGAGGTGTTCCTCAATCAATCATAGACATCTGTACTTGGTATCTGTGTGCTTATTCATCGTACAGTAAAACCCGGACGGTGTAAGCGACCTTTAGTTCTAGTACTAATACTTGTATATTACTTTGCCTGCCAGTTCTATCATCATCTCCATTACAACACTCCGGACGTCTGGATAATGCAGAGCACTCAAATCTTATAGGATATGTCAAAAAATGACATGTTATGCCTAAAACACCTAGGTCTATGAGTGACTTAACACGACTGATCACACTTGGGCGTGCGTTCCCAAAATAAGATAAAAATTGGCAACACAAATTGAATGCAGACAAGAATCCGTAGCAACAGTGGCACAGGAGGGGGGGGAGCGAGAAATAGCAACTAATCTCGCGATATGGGGGCTTCCGACACTGCCAGAGTGTTCGCAAACAGACGAACATAGCACCAGCTACAGGAGCAGGAAAAATATTTTTGGCTAGTAGTTGGCCTCAGCCAGACCTGACACTGGTGGTACTGAAGAATACACGAACCTGTTCTGCAGTACATGTAACAAGGCAGTACGATTCTGTTATATATCCGTTCACCGTTAACTATTACGTGTTCCGCCTAGACCGTGATTCTGTTCCTAAATTACAGTTGAACAGATGCTCACAACTGTTCTACCATATCTCATCGTCTGTCGAACAAACTTGCATTTCGATCGAAGCCAGGCCAGTTTTAGTACAGGCGATCACTTAGCGTACATGCTTTCCAGAAAATGAAGCTTAAGTATATTTCTCGTCTTCAGGTGGCACCACCGTGAAAGCAATTGTTGCCAAGTGGAGTTTGTACCGTTGGCTTGGACGAATGGTAAAGAAACTAATAAGCGGTCCCTGGGGAAAGCACTCCTATACAGGCACGATATTGGAGCCACAACGTGATCAGCCTCTGCTCAGATTATTGTCCTTATAATAGCATTTGGCTTTGTATTCGACGTAACTAACGTGAGGGGGTTGGCACAGGCCAGAATGCTACTGCATCGTCAGTCAACACATCCTGCACACTGTCTACTGGCACTGCTGCTAATGGGAGGTGAGATTCTTATCTATCAAGTTATTTACAAGAGAGAGTTTGGAAGCTTTGTTACAACTCTGAGTTTCACGTATTACTACGATCATCAGGCAACTGATCGATCCAAAACGGGCAGCCAAAACATATGGGGGAGCAAGGTGGGAAATTCTGAGGGGTGTCATAGGCGACGCGTACCATAGCGCAAGAGTCAGGTGCAGGCGTGAAGTTGCCAAGTCTTCAGACTTGGGGCTATGCAGCAGTAGTTCCGGCGTGAATGATAATAGAATAGAGCTGGGGACAAATGCCAAATCAACACATGCCCACACCACTACACAAACATTCACCCACACTCTCTCCCTTTTATTATTAGACACAATCTCATAGCATGTGACAAGCATAGCTAATGCAGGGACAGAATCCCCTGAGACAAGGGCGTTGAGCCAGCCACGGCTTTCTCACATACACATACACCTACACGCGCGTCCACGCACACATTCCCTAGATCTCTCTCTCTCTCACACACACACACACACACACACGCACACACACATTCATTCTCTATATCTCACACTCACACCCACCCACACACACACACACGCACACACAATCACACACATTCTCTAAATCTTACATAAACACACATCAGTGGCGGGTTAAGGGGGGGGGGGGGCGCGGGGGGCACGCCCCCCCCCCTCAAAAATTTCGACCGAGGTTTCGAAAAATAAAAGGCAGGGCGCCGGGTCTAGCTAGACTAGGCTCGGGGCGCGCGCGGCCTGAAACGATTGTCCAAAAGCGGTTGCACGGTACGGTGCTCGAGCTGGTGTTGATTGTGCACGCTACAGACTAGTACAGTACTCGTACAGTCTACAGAGTAGAGTCTACGTACAGTGAGCATGCACGGCTACACGGTGACCTGACTGTGTACTGTTTGACTGTGTACTGTTGTACAGTGTGATCCCTGCTGGGACGCGCTCGACGCGTCTTCAACGGTACAAACATCGAAGAAAAGTCTTCGATCGAGTCAACCAAAACACGATTCGAATGCCGAGGGCTCAGGCGATCATCATCGTTCAAATCGTGTTTTGGTTGACTCGAAGGCTTTTCTTCGATGTCTCAGGGACATCCCAAAAGGCCAAGCTCTAGCCAGCAGAGCCTGGAATCTTTGTAAAGCGTTCCTGTCGCGGCGCAACTCCTGCTGCCGCTCCAACAGGATACAGTGGGAGTGATGAAGTCGCTGTTATTCCAGTTGAACTTTCGGAGCGGACTGACAGTCACACTCCGCCAGACGTAGAAGAACCTGTTGTCAGCGAGCAGCCAGAACATGAAGAACAGCGCACAGTTACAAGTACCGCTGCCTATGTAAAGGATGCTTTGAGAGCGGTGAGAAATTGTTGGACTCGCATAAATAATTGCAGTTATTCGCTCACATAACGGCAAATTTGAAGTTTTCAATGTACATTTTTGATGCGTGTACAGAAATACGGCTCGTGGTGTGTGAGATGTACGGCTTGTTGTTGTTGTTGTTTATTTTACTTCACCAAATGAACAGGCAGAGATGCCTTCTCACCTGCCCATAGGACAGGTCACACAGAATGATGAAGGGATGATATGCAAGCGAAAACAAGAAATGATAATAATAATACTTCGAAGTATAAGACAGAAAGGACCAAAAGAAGAAAAGGAAAAATTTAGATGAAGACAATTTCATGGTAAACAGTTTCCTCTCAAACAAAAATGCGATAATACTCATAAAAAGGACACACTTCAGGCTCATTACAAACATCTTGAAGCTTTTATCTTTATACTTTCAAGCCTTCTCGTCAGGTGAAATACAGGCAAGGGAAAAGGAACAGGAACAGTGGATTAAATACATCTTTTTTTGCGCTGTTTTACCACCTTCTTACTGTATTTAATCCACTGTTCCTGTTCCTTTTCCCTTACCTGTATTTCACCTGACGAAAAGGCTTGAAAGTGTACTTGTGAAGACAACAACTTTCAAGATGTTTGTAATGAGCCTGAAGTGTGTCCTTTTATGAGTATTATTACAATTTCATGGAGTCAGAAACAGAAACACAATAATTTCATGGAGGCAAAGAATAGAAAGACAATTTCATGGAGTCAGGAACACGTGGTTGATTTTATAGACATGCATGAACAAATGATTGATAGATGAGAAGGTTGGAATTTATGGCACATAATAAAAGTTTAACGAGGATATTCACAAAGTAAGTATATCAATGGCAGAAAGAGCTTTTCGGAAGGGACCAGGGACACGTATCACTCTAAAATCAGAGGGGAGAGCGTTCCAGAGAATGCTTCCCCGAAACATCATGGTCGATCGTCCCGCAGGCCCACGAAGAAAGGGAACTTGAAGAAAGTTCGACACTTGTCCCCGTGTGGTGCGCTGATCCTCCGGAACAGTCTCTGGGGCCGTTCGGGTGAATAACTGTTGAAGAAGGGGGCTACAGGAGGAGCTTCTTGACATCGGTTTTCAAAATGGCTGACCTGGGACAGAAGCATGATGTCATGTACCCCCACCCCATCCCGCCTTGATCCCCGCCGCAACCCCCCCCCCCCCCCCTCAGCCAAATCCTGGACACGCCACTGCACATTCTCCAAATCTCACACAAACATTCTCTCTCTCTCTCTCACACACACACACATACACACACACACACACACACACACACACAATACTCATCCTTTCATTCTCACATCTACCGCACACATGCTTGCACCCGCACTTATCCAGTCACCTACACGCACTCTCTTTCTCACGCATGCACACAAACACACAAACACTCACACATGCGCACGCACACTCACGTACACTCACACACACACACACACACACACACACACACACACACACACACACACACACACACACACACACAAACACACACAAACACACACATACCCACACATACACACACTAGGCAGCGGGACTACCAGCTAGATTCACTTGACCTTGCGGGCAAAGTTACAGAGGTAGAACTTGTTTTCATGACGACACTTGGACACAAGCTCTGACCTCTTGTTGAGGGAGCGAGTCTTGTCGGCCCAGGCGATCTCTAGCTTCTCGGCCAGACACAGGTTGCAGCACTTCGAGATGTAAGAGTATGGTGGGGCTCTCCTCACAACGGACCACCTGATACTGTAAGGTTTGTTTTCATCCTTCAGTCTCCTGATTTGTCTGGACATCAAGTTATTTATATATCTATTCATAGAATATGGAAGTACACGACGGTAAAGGTAGTATGGGAAGCAACCCCATAGATAAGGGGCAGTGGTAAAAGTGAAAAAAAAAGAGAAATGGAACGAATGGAAATATTAGGCAAGCTTATCGATGCATCTAGTGAGAAGCTCAGCATCTTAGCCATTTCTGGGCATAGCTGTCTTTTTCATTTCCTTTCTCGCCATTTTGAGCAGGGAGTTGTCAGAGATGGCAGACCATGCTTGATTTTAGTCACTCTACCCTAGCGTTTCCACAACTTTATGTACATTGCACCAGGCAGAGGCCATCCTGGCGAACTTGATCATGCTCAATGTGTAGTTGTGCTTGTGGCATCATTGACTTCCCTACCTGTGAACATAGATAAAATGTACAAGGAGTTTTTTGCCGACCTCTACAAGCATTCATGCCCATAATGAGGCATACTGAAGGAATAATTATATTGTATAACAGTCAATGAATCATCTTTCCCCGTTTGCATCTTTCCCTCAAACCAGTGGAATACTTTATGTGTGCTCTTTGCCATTGTGCAGGGTTGTGTGCTGTTTCAGGCAAAAGCACATGCACTCCTGAATCTGGACGTTTTTGGGCGGAAGAGCGAAGCATGTCAAAACCAATCGTATTTCCACCACCGCCTGAGTCTACTGGGTCGACAGCCACAGATCTTGTGTGGACGTTCAACTTCAGCCACGAATGCACGCTCCTCTTAGAGAATATCGAGTTTTCCTTCAAAGGTGCTTGCACATTCCAACTTCATAATATAGACTACAGCTGGGTTGGACTGAACAACACCTTCGTACAAATTTCAGGCCCGGTGAAATCGAGTACGATCAATGTGAATGAACGCACCGCCACTGTGATGGGTCAACCAAAGGACACAAATGATGGCAGTCGATACTTTACAGTCACTGCCAAAGGAAACGAGAATACTGAATGTGCCGTTGAAAGCCTCGTGTTGCGCACTGAAGGTAAGCAGCAGTGGACTAGCGTAGATTGCATAAAGTAGTGATAATGCTCAACAGTTTTTGTTGTTTCAAATCTTTATTCTCATGATAGCCAGTGGCCGACAAGAGATGTTTCTGTTGTTGTTGTTGTTGTTGTTGTTGTTGTTGTTGTTGTTGTTGCTGTTGTTGTTGTTGTTGTTATTGTTGTTGTTGTTGTTGTTGGTGGTGGTGGTTCATGTTGGTAAGGAAGTGCTCTAGCCCGCACGAAGTCGGGAACAAAATTGGAATCGATCGCCAAAAAGTTAAATTCGTGCATTCTTCCTACTCAATTTGTTGCGGCTCAGTCATACTTTGTCCTATCGCCCAGAACTCATCCCACCATAGCCTCATTTCGAGAAATCCGAGATACTAGTAGTTTGAGGGAGTTATGAGAGTGTTTACTCTCGTCTATAACTTGCGATGTACAGTGTACATTGTGCAGTGAAGCCAAGTTAGAACGCGTAATCGCGCCCATGGTCCATCTTCTCATACTGAGAAAAAAAATGCGTTAACGCGTCCATGGCAGGGAAAGGGGCTTTTTTTTAAGAGAACACCAACCTTTAAATCATGTTGAAAGACAAAAAATACATTGGACACAAAAAGTACATTAGACACAAAATACATTGGACACAGAAAGAACATTGGACATAAGAAACAAGGAGGGTAAATTCGGATACCGATACTGTGCTGAGGGCGAAAATCGTGACATGGACAGTGAGATTAAAGAGAAGGATAAGAAATGTAAATGAAAATGAAGAGTTTTTGTCTTGAATTGAGGAGTGCATTGCAGCTTTACTTATGGTTAACTCATATGGTGACATTAGGTTACCTTACAGACACCTTGCGAAACAGGATATACACAAAAATAACGGGTTTAGCATAATGTGCTGTATAAAAGGGTAATATTCGACCTAAGCAGGGCGGGTTAGGGACTTGATAAGCGGAAGTAAAAACAAGAGTAGAAATAGTTTCCTCTGAGACAAAACTGCGATATTACTCATAAAAAGAGTAGAAATGTACCCAATATGTGCTAGAGCCGATAGCCAACTAGTTGTAGAACGCCAGTACAGTCCGTCAGTGGCGTTCCATGGTCCTTTTCTTTACTACTTATATAAGTAGAAAAGCGTCAATGTGTTACCGTCTCCCCAATGTCATCGAATTCATACAACTACAGTAAAACCTGTGTTTGTCAGACCCTTTACCAAGCGGAATCCTGCGTTAACCTAACACATTTTCCATGCACCAAAGTGTTGTGGATCGAATGTGTATACATGTACCTGAATCAAGCAGAATCCTGCCATACCAGGACAGTTTCCGCTGCACCAAGGTGTGGTCGGTAGTGACAGGTTTTACTTTACCTGCATCGTCGTACTTTACAGTGGGGACTTGGTAAGACATTGACAAATGTTTTTACTCCGTTAGCAGAAGTACATCTCCTATAAATAATCAATATCCGTACTGCTAGCTGTTCCGTCCATGCTAGGTCTCATCTCTATAAAGCAACGTACATTTAGCGCTCAGCATGTCCACTGTATAACTGATGGTTATTCGAACATCTCAGGTGTACTTTGTTTGGTTGGAAAAAAGAGTTTATCATCGTGTCCGTTTCCGAAGGGAACTCACGATGGCCGCTAACACCTGGTAAATCCTAGCGGCAGATTCAACGCCTAACGGTGGGGGTGAGTGGATAAGTCTCACAACCACTGGCACAAGTGCCCAGACACTCCATTAGCTGCATCCATGTACCGCTTGTGCTTGGGCACAAGTTTCCAGTTGACTTTGGGCTGGAGCGCGGCTGGAAAAGCCGCTCCCAGGCAGGACTTGAACCCGGCACCTCTCGTGTCTCAATCATGGTCTTTGACCAACCCACTGTGCCTTCCTGATCACCATCTGTTTGGTTGAATATGATCTACAAATCACAACATACCAAAAAAAATCCCAGTTGGTTGATTACGTTGCTGCATAATACCTAGATGTTTTCTCTGCGTCATCTCATTCCCATTCTATAGATGTGGATGAATGCAATTCCACGCAACAAAGTGGTACACTCTGTCCATCGAACAAGACATGTGTCAACATGATTGGGACTTACGGTTGCTGCAGTAGAGACAGGGATCATGACTACCCTGATGACTCCCAACTTGTCACGCATAACGGACATTACCGTCCGTGTACTTCGCAGACCACTGCATTCAGCACAGAAACAAGACCTACAACTAGTACAAGCAGAGCGTGGACAACCGGTAAGAATGACATACACGGGACAACCGGAAAGAATGACATACACCGGACAACCCGTAAGAATGACATACACGGGACAATCGGTACGAATGACACACATGTAACTAGCGCGATTGCGCTGACAACGAACGACGCTATTGCGTTCGGGCACCAGCATACCATAGCTGCCATTGCCATATCTTGCTCTTCCCTTGCACTGTTCGTAATTGTGCTTTTAGCTATATGGCAGAGGGGTTATCTTAGCAACTCTGCCACGGGATTTGTCTGAACCGATTCGTGAGGATAGCCGTACAATGGATACATGTACTATGAGTAGGGGCATTTCGTGCATATTTCTTCTCTTTCTCAGCCTGCGGACAGCACTGTTTCGTCCTTTGTGAACTCATCAGCGCAGCAGCTCTTTTTCTATACAGTGTGTTGCTATTTTTGTCGTCGTCATTGCCGTTGATGTATTTTTGTTGTTGCTGCTGCTGTTTCAAATCTTTATTCTCACGAAAGCAAGTAGAGATACATGACATTGTAGCTGTTTTTAGGTTGTTGTGGCTGTGTTTTTTTTTAATTTGAATTCTTCATTCTCATGATGGCACCATCGCGAACAAGAGTGGTTGTTGGTGTTGTTGTTGTTATTGTTGTCGTTGTTGTCGCTGCTGCCATTGATATTGTTGCTTTTTTTCATCGTCATTCATAGTCATGCATATACAGTGTAATTCACCCAGCCACCGGACATTTACTGCCTTTTCATTGTCTTTTTTTAAATAGTTCTGACAGATTTTGAAACCACCATTGGTCTCGCTTGCTGGTACCATGCAATACTTATTATTATCTAACTGCAATGACCATATGTTCCTTAGCCGGTGGCCTGGCACGAGGAAAGCATGGATCAAAGCGAGCAGGATTTTCGGTCTTTGACCACTTTGTGTCGGGTCTGATAAACACACCTCGAGCCTCTTTAGGAGCTGCATCTTAAGCCTGATCTATACAGGGCGGTGGCGTTCTTACAGATGCGTGGAACTCAACGTTCAGTTGAGTCGCACACGGGCTGTGATTTTGCAGGTATTTAACTGTAGCTATGCCCGTCTGTAGTTCATTAGATTTTCTAATGACTTGGAAATTAGACAATACGCACCTCGAACGAGTATTGCCTATAGCTATCTACTCTTGCTGTAGCCAAGCCCTGCTGGAAATCAGAAGTCGTCCCTAAGTTTAATAAGATATTTGAAAAGAGTTTGCGGCAAGGTGTGGAAGGTACTGGTATAGCTACAATACGTCACAGTACCTCTTCCATCTCGCCACATACGCAGTCGAACCCTTGTCGTTTTCACTATGATTGTTTGTGGCAGTCTTGTATAAAAGCGAAGAAGAGGTTGTTGCTACTTCTGCGATACACTTACTTAAATTCTCACTTGACCGAATCGCGACTGCAATCCAGAGCACACGGGAAGTCCATCGAAGCTTCCACTCCGCAAACCTGCAAGACAGGAACACTCTCTGCTCAATTTCGGGGAATTCACCCCTCATCAGTTGGGCTTGGGTAGGCTGAGGAGGTTTGTGCCCAAAGAGTATCACTTACATAGTGCACTCCAGGCACAAAATATCGCCAGAGATACAAACTTACAATGAAGCTCCGTTTTTAGTGCGACAAACATCTGGCTAACACCAGATAGCAGCGCGAGTCGGTGTCGCTCATTGAATTGTGTGTTGCTCCTAACGTGGGAGCTCGCGCATTTTCTACCGACTTGAATTCTCGCTTGACCGACTCACGACTGCCATCGAGTGTACACGAGGCGTCCATCGAGCCTTCCACTCAGCAAACCTGCAAGAAAGCACCGCTTCTTGCTCAATATTTCCTTGTCCCACAACACCAGATCTCGGAGCAGCTTAACCCTAGAACAGCCAACGGTGTCATTTGACACCGCGCGAGTCAAACTTTTGGAATTACCGGAATATGGCTAATCAGAATAAGCTCAAATCTTGTGACTATTCCTAATTTTGAGTCCTCTTTCGTCTGCCATAAATATTTGATTTGTAATTGACGAGGTACCATAATGGCGAGTACGTATACCTAGAACGGCCAACCAGTGTCATTTGACACCTGCACTATAAAAAGTCATTATTGCAGCTAGATGGAAAGAATATGAACACATTTCGAAGGCGTCAGCCATATCGAGTTTCTCGTATGCCAACCAGACAAAATAAAAGGTGCATGGGCAGGAAAATCGCTGAATACAGGACAAAATATTTGATCAACATACAACCGTCGGGCGAGAATCGCGAATTTGGGGCGGGTAACTATTAGTGCACAGATTACACAAACACTCTTCAGCTAATGTCCTTGATACTGCCCAATCCCTGTCATTTTCCTGTAAATTACCCTAGAGGAGCCATCGCGGTCTGACGGCCAAGGAAATACTAGAGTAGATGTCGCCTATTACCATGCATGAATCTGATGATCATGAAAGCGAAATTGCCCACGTTATCTTCATTTTATGGCTGTTCAAGTGTAGTGACCATTGGCAGTGGTGGATCTGTTCTGTCATATGAGGGCGAATCGCACGGTCACAACACCTGAGTACCTGTGGATTTAGAATATATTGAGGTTTACGAGCCTCCAGAGAGCGGACGAGGATTGCGGGATAGTCCAGACAAGGAATTGTCAGAAACAGTTGCAGGAGTGGTGGAGACCCCAAAATAGATAGTGTTGAGGAAGAGGAATCGCAACTCTGTAACCTGGAGATGGTACACCGCATTATCGCAAGCATGGTGCTGTGTAGATAATCCTTTCTAACCTCTTGACGAGCTAATAAGGCTCTTGAACCAAACCTCTTCCTCCCCCGCTTCAGGCTAAACGGGTAGGCAGCCGCTGGGATGCCTTCTCTCTCTCTCTCTTTAGTGGCCCCAGATGCTGCAGAAGCTGATTGCTAAGTAATAACTGATAACTTCATCATCAATGCATTACTGGTCAAGAAACTGTTGGAGAAGAAAGAGTTGCAGTATGAACCAATTTGGTAAATTGAAGTGAACTATCATCTAACCTCATTGCCAATAATCGCGGATTGCATTTAGTTTTCAAGATTACAGTGTAGGATGCAAAGACGGTAGACGTAGAAGGTAGAAGTAGCAAGAATTATCAATGGTCCGCCTAGTGTAGACCACCTAGAGCCATATGTTTTACATGGTGAGAGTAGGAAGCCCCACATAATCCAATTCTAGCAAAAGACGAGATATGTCCTTAACTATTTCGATCGAATGTGGTGGATCTACTCAACAAAGACTATTCCAGAAGATGTCCCCTGCAAGGCGGTTACATAAATGAATAGATGTGACAGGCATCAACCCCTTCACAATATCCCAGACCTTTGCTAGTTCATGCACATCCAGAAAACGCTCATTCCTGCACTGGTCAATAAGCTTGTAGATAGTCATGGCATCTGGTTGCTAAGTGCCAGCCAAGGAGAAGAGAAGGGCATACCTCTTTGAAATAGTCTAAAATGCAGTCGTTACTAGCCTAATCTTGAAACCATGTCTAGCAGCATATGTGTCAGTTTGGAGAAAAAATGATGCTCATACTTCGAAGTGGTCAGTCCATGTTTGTACTTGTTACTGTGTGTTATTCATCGTGACGGTCGAGTAATCCGATTATGCCAAAGCACATATTCCCGAAAAGCAGTTCCCCATGTGCTCAGTGACGTTGACACATTGCTTGTTATTGTAACTCTGTGATTATAAGAAATTCCTATGCAAGTAATTGAAGTTTTGCCAGTAATTGAGTTCATCCTTCGCAATTGCCGTTACGCGTACATCGTATTTTAGTTGCGTACGGCCGACAATAGTGTCTGGGTGAATCCTAAAGTGTTGTTGTGTACATCATAAATGCCGCTAGTGATAGCCAGCACTGAAAACAACAAAGTATAATAACCTATATCATAGGTCTTAGACATGGAAATGTATGCAGGTGTCAAATGACACGGTTTGGCCGTTCTAGGAGTACTGAAAGTGGTGGCCGTCCTAGGGTTAAGACCCATTGGATGGGTTGGTGAGTTCCTGTTTCAACCCTGGTCGTACTGGCAACTCCCAAGAGTGCCACAGCAGACCGGTACATAACGAGCTTGGACATTTCTCAATGCGCAGACCTGCTCTGCGACTCCTTAACAACATTGTTCAACTATAGTGTAGATGAAGGCACTTTTCCGCCTTCCTGGAAATCAGCAACAGTTATTCCTGTGTTCAAGAACAAAGGCAGCCTCGCGGAGTCCACGAAATACAGGCCTATTTCACCCTTACCCGGCCTGGCCAAACTGTTCGAAAACATCACAGTGCGCCGCCTTCAACGCAATTTGGAGAAATATGTATAGGATATTGACCAAGACGAGGTCTATATGGGAAATATAGGCCGAGTAAAAGACCGAGGTCCGCCGAGGTCTTTTACGAGGCCTATATTTCCCATATAGACCGAAGTCGAGGTCAATATCCTATTTATCACGATTCCTTTGCCATAACCCCAAAATTTGAACCTTTAGGAGCTATTTTAACCTTTTTAGTATAGCATTTGTACTATAGTGTACATGGGATGTTGCCTATTTTGGGTACAAGACTGTAAGAACAACAGAGTTCAGCATCTGCAGCACAGTGGCTGGGTGGTATAAGGGGTTGCTTGAGATTCATACTGTTGTGAGTTCGAATCCTGCTTGTTCTCTTCCTTTGTCTTCTTTCTTTCAATTTTTCTTTTTGAAGTGGAGAGAAAAATTCTAAGTCCCTCCAAAGTCGAAAGATTACAATGCCTAAGTGGTCGATACAAGCGGTCGATATTGCGGCGATATGGGTAATATAGGACCAGTCAAGGATCACGAGAATTAGTGGAGGTCGATATAGAAGAGTGATAAAACGTTATATGCAGAGAGCAGTTCGCGTATGTTAGAAACGAGAGAGCTTGGAAGCTCAGGGCCCTACGCTATGCAGTTTTGCCTTGATGACCTAGACAAAAAAAAAGCATAGGTATTTTATGTTACCCAATGCTGTAGACAGCAAGCTGTTTCGGCCATAAAGGCCTCATCAGTACAGCTACGAGCTAAATAGGCCGAGCTACCAGCCATGGTGCAAAGGAGGCACCCAAGACATTAAGGTAGTATTGTTATAAATTCTTCAAAAAATTCCTTTTTTTTAAGGCATAACCTGGGATTCGAACCCGCACTATCGCGCCCTGCATGCATCCCCCGGTCTTTAAAAAATTCCTTTTTTTTAAGACATAACCTGGGATTCGAACCTGCACAATCGCGCCCTACATGCATTCCCCCATACACTTCGCATTCATACCCATTCTTCCATGTTGCTTCACGTTATGATCTTGCATTTGAAAGCCCTATTTGAATATGCGTTGTGGCCATGCCAGCCGTCTTTGATGGTACGGTACGGTAGGGATAGGTTCGGGACAGGTACGATCGAGGGTAATACGACACCGTCTCCCGAACCGTACCATCGACCACAGCTGGCCACATACAGCTGCCCGCAATATTCAAATAGGGCTTTCAAACGCAAGTAAATAACGTGAAGCAACTTGGAAGTATGGGTATGAATGCGAAGTGCATGGGGGAATGCATGTAGGGCGCGATAGTACGGGTTCGAATCCCAGGATATGCCTGAAAAAATAGGAGAATTGAAAAATTTATAACATACGTATGATTTTTTGCCGTCAGATACGGGACAGCGCCAGGCGTGACACAAACAAACAAACACACAAACAAATACCAAACGAGAGAGCTTGGAAGCTCAGGGCCCTACGCTATGCTTTTTTGCTTGCTCATCATGCATGTGACGTGCCAAAGCCGTGTGAACCCTGGCTAGCGCCAAACGATA